AGCGAGTTCGAAACGAGCCATCGTCCGGAAGTGAACCGTGAATTAGGACACGACATATCCTAACCAGCTAGGAAACGGTAATTAGAAATTATAAAATCTATTCACGATTGTACGACCTATTGCTCGATTATCGGGCTACATCTTTATTTCTTATCGCAGTCTCGTCGGGGCTTTGCATTATAGTTACTTTTCTAGTAACATTCTAGAGCAATATTTTGGACTGGTAATATTACAGTTACTTCTTAGTTACTTTTCTAGTAACAATTTTAAGCTTCAACGCTGGCAATGATGGACGATTTGCGCGTCGATGAACGTGAAATTACGTTTGCGTGATAAATGATGGACAAGTAGCGTGGAAACTTCTGAACTAGATTAATTTTTGAATTTTTATTTAATTCAAGATATTAGAGGAACTGGACGATTTACACTTCCCGGTGATAAGAGTACCGATACAGTGACAATGAAAATTCAAAATTGTTTTGACGTGTTTGTATATGAAGATGTATGATAAGTACCGGTTGATGAAGTTGGTAGGCGTGGAATAGCCCAACTGTAGCCGCGATCTGATCACTTTCTCCTGAACGGTGACCATCCTCGAACTTCTGGAACTCTGGTGCACCCTAGTGGTCCTGATCACTTGGTAACAATGATGTTTCGTCTGGGTGTTGGTCACCCTGTCACTCCTCGGCTCGATCATCGTAAACATGATTGCTTTCACTGGTCACTAGTAATCACTTCGATCACGAGGACCACGTGGTCTTGCTGTTTCCACTCCCGATCTCATTTTCCCCCCTCGTTGCCCCTTTGGATTGTCCCAAAAGTTCTCTACCACTGACTATTACAAAGCTCTTTGGTTTGTCTCGCGAATGTCGGACGCGTCTTGATTATCCAAGATACATTTCGGTATCCAACAGACCTGCATTCGTTGGGGAAAAAAATAAAGGGGATGCTTTGAAATTGTTTGAACAGAAAGTTCCTGGAGAACAAGAAGACTCTTCTTATAAAAAAAAATGTTGCAACTTTTTAAGTAAGAAACTTTTTTGGCTACTCAGATTTTTGAACGAAGAATCTAGGAATTTTCTAAATAAAAGATTCGTGGAGTCTAGTAAATAAAGATTCTTGGAATTTTTCGTTCGAAGGAATTAAGGAAGATCCTCAAAGAAAAGTGCGTATAAAGAGGACGAAACGTCTGGCAAGTTTGAAATAAATGCCCGGGAAGTAGCGATAAATCAGTCGTGATTAAAGTTGGCAAGACTTCTGGCGCGGTTTCTAGGGAAGTCCAAAGTTCGACTCTGACTATCTTGAGGAGCAGCGGGTAGGTAGCTTGAAATTTTAATCGCGGCGAGTATCTTGGTTAGTTGGTTCGCGGCCACGAGTTGATTTGATTAATTGAATACCTAGGGACTTCTTAGACGTGGAGGTTCTTTAATTGGTAGCAAGATAAATCGAGCAGCATCTCAAGCGAACATACGAACTTACAACTGACGAGCATGAAAATTGTTTGGCTCGTTAGACAAATTAATATTCTGCCAAGATATGATATAATAACACAACGTAATGATATTTTATTTCTAAAAATAACTACACATTTCATAGATCAAGCTTCATTCACAAATACTTTACAGATCGGAGATTCCGATTTTTCCGCGCCGCTTGATCCACATTAATCACAAAAGTACCTGGTTAAAGCGCAAACAACGAAAGGACAAAAAATTCCCTATCACCGCGTGACTGATGATCATCGTGATAAAAGCAACGCATTAGATTTATAAAAGCATAGTGTTGTTTTTCTCCATTAGGGGGGAACTCTTAATGGAGCTGAAACACTGACGCGATTCATGATAAAATACGTGGCATCTATAGAACGATATCCATCTAGGATTTATTCGTTCGTTCGCGGCTTAATCGAGAAAAGTCGATCGTATATCTCTCTGAAGTAAATCTAATATTTCCTATAACGCTCCAATTACTCGATAATCGATACCCCTGCCTACGACTATTTCCTTTCTTTCTTTCTTCATTTTCACGTTTCACACCGAGAACACCGAGAATTCTCTGTGTCTAATTTCAACATAACCTCAACTCTTTCAAACGACTAACATCAACATAACCTCAACTCTATCAAACGACTAACATCAACATAACCTCAACTCTATCAAACGACTAACATCAACATAACCTCAACTCTTTTAGAAATTGAAGGATTCAAATGAAATGAGATTAATTAGAAAACTTTCAATTTCAATTGTCTCGTGTTCGTTTTAGGCCCAGTTTTCTCTTATCTCTTCGTTCTTCTTTTCGGAGGAAACTGCTTAATATGAATATGAGACGCTCGGCCGTTTTCACTTAGCGACTGTTTCCGGTTGATTGATAACCAATCGCGACTTTCTATCGACGATTGCAATTAATATGCCTGGACACGCACACCGTGGACCGAATGGCGGGGGAAATGAAATTTTTTTTTTTTTTTTTTTCGTCTCGAGATCGACTCTCACGGTCCTGTTTACTTATTTAATACCTTCCAGCGAGTGGCTGGTATCTTCTTGCGAACAGCCAACGCTTTTTTTTTTCGTTTCTACGTTAGAAAGATGCTTCTTTAATGCGATTCTTGGGTGTGGTAATTTATTTACGAAATAACCATATTACCGTTAACAACACTGAACTACTTCGATGATTCTAAATCGATAAATTCTCAATATTTTCGAGTCTACTCGTTCTCTTTTTGTTAATTTGTTTCATTCATCAAATTTGTCGAAGAAAAATAGAAGAGAAAATGAAGAAATATGGATGGTTTTTCGAGTATCATCGAACTAAAGCTACGAAAAATCTCGAAAGATCGAATTTTTACAAAGAAAATATCAAGTATCATATCGAAATACGCTATGAAATTTGCATCAACCGAGCCTGGAATTAAACGAAAGGGGAAACGAAACACGACGATGACGCGATGACAAATTTTGCGTTCAGAATTACGGATTTCGATTTCATTATTTTCCGTCGTTGTTCCTGACTCAACGACCGGCCATTAATTTATACGAAAATAATTTCCCTTCACTGTGCTACGTTCCCTGTAATTAATCGCGTTCCGCGGGCCGACATAACGCGCGAATTAAATCTCGGTAATCTGCCGCGAACGCGCTTTAAACATGGCCGCCGCAACACTGCGAAAGCATCTACTGCCTCTTGTAATTAGTGTACCGGTTATGATACTTAATTGTGCTCGATAATTACGATCTCTTTATTGTACTCGTCGTATCTGGCGCGGTAATTACCTATTACATTATATTTGATCGCCGAAGTGAGTTATTATTTTCCATTTTAATCGTGTTCGAGGGTGAAGGCGATCTAACGTTTCAGAAATCGAACAAACGAATATTATTATTTCACATTACTATGAAATAAAATAAAATAGAAATGAAACAAGCGCGACAATCGTTTGTCAAATTTAATGATAAAATGAAAATAAAATGACCGCCACTCAGTGTAATTGTCCCTGAAATTTACAATTTTCTCTTTACCATTGATGAAAGAAGATGGAATTTCCATCAGAGAAATAAATAAAAAGAAATAGGGAAACTTTAAACTACAACAGAGTATGCAAGCCTTCTATTTTATACATTTTACGAAAAATCAGTCGGATCTCGGAAAAATATATGTTTATGAAATTTTTGCCAAAAATTATGCACTGAT